TCAGGTCTCAGGCAGTCTGGGGAAGTGATTCTGCAGTCAAGGCCCCTCAGAAAGTCCACATGAAAGCCTGGAATCACATACAAAGATGTGCTTCCTCGACCCCAAAACCCCCACTTGCTAAGGACCTGCAGTGTGAAATAATGAGCGTGGCAGCCTTGAGGCTGCAAGAGTCTCATATTCAAATTGCAGTTCAGAGAGAAAAGAGTGAATAGTTTTGCTTTTAACGGTTCTCAGAATTACCCAAAGAACATCACAGGGTTCTGCCTCTGGCGGTACAGTGTGCGTGTGAGTGTTTGTTATATGCCTGTGTGTGCACCCATCACTCTCCAGCTCGGGGACCCTGCCTCCTGGAGAGGTTTACACACACCAGAGCAGGCTGCTCTCTCCCAGTTCTTAGGCAGCCATGCTCCTGTTGACAGCAGCACAAAGCCCGGCTGAGGGCAGCGCAGCAGTGAGCAGAGCTGGTCACAGCTGTAAAGACAGCAGAGGCCAACAGTGGGCTAAGCAAAGCCTGGGGAGAATCCGCTGAGCAGTAAACAAAGCCAGCAGCTCTCTGATCCAATCCCATTAGATAAGATGGAGCTCTAGAGTGAGCAGCTGGTACAGACCAGCTGTGTGCCCCCTGAGCAGATGCAGGGAGGCCTTAACCCCCAGCATTAGGACCTTAGGAGCCGGGGATTTGGTGTATGACTGACTTAGACAGTGTCACGAGGATAGGACTCCTGGAAGAGCAAAGGGGGAGTGGCACACCCCTGAAATCTCAGTCCTTGGGGAGTAGACACAAAAGACTCCTAGTGAAAGGCTACAATAGTTACAATAGATAGCAAGACCCTGTCTTGAAAGTAAAGGAAAAAAGACATTATCTTCTCTTTCTGTCTGTCTGCTCTGTCTCTTTCCTCTTTTTCCCTCCCTCCTTTCCTTCTTTGTCTTCAGTAAATAAATAGCAACAAAGCAGCTAGCTGATGCTCTGACCAAGCCTGCCAGAATCTCGACCTAGGACTTCCAGCCTCCAGAGACCTAAAGACAAAGGCCAACACTTTAAGTCAGAAAATCCCTGATACTTTGTCTCAGCATTCCCAGCCGACTAAGACACTGAGCCTCAGAGAGCAGCCCAGCCACTGTGACAGCCCCGGCCATCCCTGACAGAGGCTGCACTCTCCTAAACCACACAAGAATGAATCTTCTTCCACAAACACAAACCCTAGGAAAATGTAACACAAGAAGCCCTCCCTCCCCGCCCAGGCCCTCTCTATGATCATGACATTTCATCTAGGTTATTCTTCGAGGTAGATAAAATATAAATACACATTCAACAATACTTAAGATGTTTATAAGACTTTGAAAAAAGATGGCTATCTGAAGCTAAACCACTGAGCCTCGAAGGCATCACCCTACAGAGAGCTTTCTTGGGGAGTGGCTTGACACCATCACCCCGACACTGAAACGATGCCCAGCCTCCTGCAAGACATGGAGCAGGATTATAATGAAGAGGAGAATAAAAGAAGCAAAGTCACGGGATAGCAGAGACATTATTGTTTGCCACTGATAAGACTGTCTCCCTGTAAAGCCCCGGAAGTTACTAAAAATCGTCACATCACAGGCTCCGCTGGGTAAATATTCAGAAATCAAACATTTTCTTGGACAGCAGCAAAGGCAGCTGCAGAACACTTTGTAAAGGTACCAAGTAGATGGACAACAAAGACTTGGAAAGTTTGAAAATAGGACAAAAAGAAATGTTCAGGATATATTTAAAGAAAACTATAAAACTTGACTTAAAGTCATGAAACATTGCAAAGATGATGATGTTGAAGATGTCGCTTCTTTCCCACTGTGCCCAAGTTATTTATAAATCTCATGAAATTCTGACTGCCTGTGGTGTTCTTTTTCCCCCCTTGGAAGTCTTGAATGTTCTATTTTTGGAGTTTGTCTTTTTTTAGCTAGTATGAGTGGGTTCCTGTTCATAGCAATCAAATGACTAGCTCAGCCCGGCCTGCCCCTCCATTGCTCATGGCTTGTATATCCTGAGTCTTGACTTCTCCTGTATGCTCCTATACCTCCTTCCAAATGGACGTTTACAGATTCTTGCAAACAATAATTTCATTAGCAATGATAACTTTTAAAGACTTGAATGATTTTTTTCAGCTTTACTTTATCACACCAACACTTTGAGCTTCATATCAACATTGCATTTAAGTGGCTCAAGTCCATGAGCTCAAATTCTCAGAAACAGGAACCTGATTGGTTGAACCCACCTTGGGTCAGGGTCCTTTGGTCCAAATGGATGTGGATGTGAACAGCAGAGACCCATGGTTAAGTCTGAGCTGAGCGAAGAGTACTGACAAGGATGGCATGCAGACGCCTGCTTTGAGCCAGGCACATGTGTGTTCTCACCTGTCTCAGTTGAAGGCACTAACATTTCCAAGCAGACTTTTATCTGCATATTGATGTCAAGCAAGCACCTTTTCGTGGCAGATAAGCTCTCCATGGAGGCCTGGCCAGCTCACAAATCAGAGCTGGGCCCATTTTCAACACGAAGGTGCTTAGGGGCCTACCTGAAGTTCTGGTACTCGCGCAGCTGTGGTCTCAACATAGAGCAGAGTATCTTCTAGCCTAGCATCTCTGTGTCAGCTGCCAGAGTTGACTATCCAGGAACCAACATCTTTGAGCTTGCTTTGGTGGCCCCATCCCTGGGGAAGGTACACATGGGTCTCCCAGTAACGGCTTCTCCTTCACTGTTCCGTGCCCCACCTATCTCCTTCACTGTTCCATGATCTCTGTCTCCTTCACTGTTCTGTACTTTCTGTCTCCTTCACTGTCCCATGCTCCACCTGTCTCCATCCTCCACATCTATGCTTCTCTGTCCCTCCCCCGCCAGCCTGCCTGCAAGCACCCTGTCCTGCCTTGCAGCCACACCACAACAGTTGAGTGGAGGGAACAAAATTGAATCTGTGCTCATCGCTCCAAACTGTAGGCCCTTTGTGGCACACCTTCCTTTCCAGATGAAAACTGCACAAGAAGTCCTCCTCCTCCTCCTTGACCTGAGGCCACAGGCTGATTCCTCTGCACCTTCTGCTCTGTGAGACCTAGACCGCAGACTCCTGACACTCAACCCATGCTTTCGGTAGGAAATGAGTGTCTCACCAACCCCCAACAGCTGGAGCTTCAGGTCCACCTGAATCTACCTAGGCAGTGAAAAGTTAAATTCACCCCTAGGGCTCAAAGGAAATCCTTTGCTCCTTTGCCCTGTGACTGCAATGGAAGGCACACATCAGAATATCTGAGGGCCCTCTCCGAACTTTGCAGCTCCTCTCTTTTCCTGCCAGGCTGAGGGAGAACTCCCAGACACTGGGATTATCTAAAGAGACGCTCCATTATCACGTGCTGCTTTACTGACAGACCCAGGGCGGCCTCCAGCTCTCCAGAACAGGACACACTTCCTTTCCATCAGAAAGTCGGGGGGTGGGGAAATGAGGGGAGCTGGGGCATGGGTAAAACAGGGAGACACTACAGGTGCATTTGCAGGAGCAGCCTCGGGGGCCCTGAGCACGGCACCTTAAGCCATCTAACTTCTGAGACTTTCCTCCTCCCCACTGGTCTCGGCAGCTCTTTCCGGAGTGTCTCATCAACTGACTGTCTTCTTATTGGTCGAGCACGGAACAGTGAAGTTCCACCACAAGCCTGGCCTAGACCTCACTGGGTGTCATGGCAGACATGATCCTGCTTAGTGCTCTGTATCCAAAGTCATCAGGAGAGTTCAAGCCTACCCACCCACCACACACACACACACACACCACCACCACCACCACCACACACACACACACACACACACACACATGCACACACACCACACACACACACACACACACACACACCACCACACACACACCACACAACCTCCCCTACCCCAGCACTACAGGGAAGAGCTAGCAGGAGGATGGCTTACACAAGATGACAAGCACATTTTCAGACGGATTTTTGTGGCAGACATTCCCGTGGGCTCCAGCCTTTCTCAGCCTGTGCTTTTAACACCAGCACAAGGGCTTTGTGACACGGTAAGTTCCCCTCTGCTTCAGCTGTTTCCCTGCCAAACCTCACTCCCGCCACATCATTCACCCACAGGCCAGCATGAAGGTACGCATACTCAGACACTGCCCCTTCTTCTCAGAGTACTTATGAGCCAGCCAGAGCCCTGGCTAAGGAACAGGCAGCCAGGTCCGCAGCATCCACAGTGACTCCCTAGAGCACAGAGTACTTGGTGCTGGAGAAATGTCACTTCTGTTTCAGGTTCTCCCACAGACAGGCTCAAATGAGCAGCTGAGAAAACACAGCGTTTGATGCTCCTGGCACTGCTACCCAAGGCCAGCTCATAGTCACACCCTACCAACCTGGGTTTAGCCCTGACTCTGTGGGGCCATGCTTCCCACAAACTGGACCCGTATGCTGCCGTGGGAGCTCTCTAAGGCATGTGAGGCCATGTGTCTGCAAGGTTAGCCCTGGATGAAAAGCCAGGGAGCCTCTCCAAACTGTAGCTTGTGAGGAATCAGCTAAGCAGAGAACAAATCCCCGTGCTGGGCACAAGGAGCCTGGAGCTTGTGCTCACTGCCTGGAGCTACACAGGTGCAAAGATGGTGCTTGTGGGGTAGGGCAACCCTTCAAAGATCTGAAACACTCTTGCTGAGTGCACCTGGGTGACATTCCAGCCACCGGTACACTGCCCTCCCAGACCCAGCATTCTCCCGATAAGATAAAGTTCTGACCCGGGGCAGTCAAGGGGACAGGTTGCATTCCTATGCTAAGAAAACACAGCCACCACCTGTTGGCTCTAGATGTGAGACAGGAACTTCGAGGTTGAGGATTAATGGCTGCATCCAGGCAAAAGCACTCTGATGCCTCTAAGTTTTAAGAGTACAAGAGACACCTGGCTTGCAGTTGTCTTTAACCGTAGGAACCTTCCTAGTCCCATCAAATGGGAGAAATGCAGGCAGACATGTGAATTGTTCATCTAACCTCCTTTTTATTACAACATCAGGGAAAATAGTTGCAGAGGAAATGTAATGGAGATAGATTACACTACTCACAGTTTCACTGTGTACCCTGCCTCTACGGCCATAAATACTATGGGCTCTGGACATGCATTTTAGGTGTGCAGCAGCGAGGCTGAGTGTGGATGGCTTCCTCTAGGGTATTGTTCTCTTCGTTTCTTGATGGGCGGTGTTGAACGTGGAGTCTTCAGGTGGAACAGGCAACAGCTTCCCCACTAGGACTGTGACCCGGCCTTTTTCTTCTGGAATTTTCTGAACTGAGACTGAATGGCCACAGCCGCACGCTCTGTCTCTGGAGCGTCCATGTCGATATCAAACTCTTCTTGGACTTTCTTCTGCCCATCTGCAGCAAAAACAAAGTCAAATCAAAATAAACAAACAAATGAAAAACAGAAATATCAGGTGAGTACCTACAGCAAGAGGCAGTAGACACAGGAGGCTGGGTGGCCTACCCTGGTGTGCCCTCGGGCATTCATTCACCCACCCAAAGACAAGCCTCCTTTGTAAAATCCAGGGGAGCATGTGGAAAGTTCCAGATGTTTGCAATCTGCAGCTCTCTAGCTATCTGAACTAGCCATGTGCAGGATGCTGGAAGTCACAGTCTGGACACTTCCTAAAATGCTGGCTGGGCTCACCAGGGGAGGTCACAGTGTTGGCCTGTCATAGAAGGCTGGCTGGGCTCACCATGTTCAGGGCTAACGGTTGACACTTGGGACACTGTGTGTGGCTAATGAGATCTGCTCATTGTTCCCTAGGCTCCAGTGCTGGTCATTTTCATAACCCAATGACACTCCTTGACCATCGCCAGAAGATTGCACTTCCATAAATCATACGTTGTCATCCTGTAAAGCAAGTTGGTGCATCTACTTAGGCAGAGAAGCCAGCCAGCTTACACTGACATGGTTGCTGAAGACAAATTACAAACCAGCGCCAAGTGACACCTTGGGGTGATTGTGACTTTGTGCTAGGCACTTCCTGAACAGTGGCCAAAAGTAAAAAATAAGTAAGCAAAATCCTCCAGCCAGAGAAGGGAGCAGGGACATCTTTTTACATCCTCCAACCCAATGAAGGCGGAACACTGGAGTCATCAAAAGAATCATTTGTCTTTTTGAGGCAGACACTGGGGCCCAGCCCAGACTCAGGGTGACCTCTTGTGCAGCTGAATAGAAGGTGCCCACAAAAGCAAGCCTGCCCATCTGGTAAGCCTAGGGAGAGGCCAGATTGCCACCCTGGACTAGCCTGAAGAGCAAAGAAGCCAGCTAGATAAAACAGAGAGTGAGGAGGAAAAGAGGAGGTAGGAATGAGAGATGGTAAATATAGATAATAGATGAATAATAGGTATATAGTAGACAAGATAGACTTGATAGAAAGATGACTAGATAGATAGATAGATAGATAGATAGATAGATAGATAGATGATAGGCAGATAAGAGATAGATAGATAGATAGATAGATAGATAGATAGATAGATAGGCAGATAAGAGATAGGTAGATAGATAGATAGATAGATAGATAGGCAGATAAGAGATAGGTAGATAGATAGATAGATAGATAGATAGATAGATAGATAGATAGATAATAGCAGATAAGAGATAGATAGATAGATAGATGATAGGTAGATAGATAGATAGATAGATAGATAGATAGATAGATAGATAGATAGATAGACAGACAGTGGGTGGTTGATGGATGATAGATGACAGACATGCAGGAGAACCCATACTTATTTCAGATGTCTATCATAGCGTTTCCATTGCAGACCCTTAAGCAGGCTGCTCTGAGTTTTCTTGGCGACTAAGCAGGTTCTGCCTGGAACACTCTAGGCACTTCTCCACTCCTCCATCTGGAAGTGGGTGCTCTGCCACTGGCCTTGTGGGCCTTGTTACTGTGATGGGTTTGTGACCCAAATCAAATAACTTTTCCTTTTAACTAACTGCCATGGCCACAGGAGCTGAGAGCTAGAGTGCATTGTACAGGGAATGTTGATGGGCATCCTTCATGATCCATGGGATCTGGCAGGAAGAGAGGCTGGCTGGATGCTTCCAGCTACATCCCTCCAGGTCAAGTAGCCCTTGGCATATTGATCCACCCTGTAATGAACACCTCGGGGCCACAGGAAAGAATAGAAGTTGCCTGCAACCCATGTAGGTGCTGGGAAATGTGGAATACTGTTACCCGCCAGCCTGGAACTAACGCGCAAGAATCTGGTAATCCGCAGCGGCCCTAGCCCTGTACTAACGTCAACACTGTGTGGCTCTGAGCTGTCATTTGTCACAGAGGTTTATACTTCTGATCCTTCCACTCCAGAGGAGACCCCTGCACTTGCTGTAAAATGATGGTAATGGGGAAATTAGTTGCAATTCAAGGGAGGATGGGAGGGATTTGTTTTGGTTTTTTTGTTTTTTGTTTTTTTTTTAGCTTAAAAAAAATGTTGCTGCAGCCCACAGTTTTTGAAGGGCCTGATCCATCTTTTCTCTTTTGTAATAATGGGAAAAAAAAACAATAATTTTATGTTTTGACAAATGATAAATGAAGATGCGGAAAATTATGTATATTTAGGGAATCCAAGATGCAGTAGTAAAGACAGGTCATAAAAATCAATTTTACAATTACATCTTAAACTAATATCTTCTACCAGAAGTGATTTATTGACCCACCCTCATCTGAGAAATATTATTTACAAAGCAACTTCTGACATGTAAGGGCTGGCCACTTTCTGTTTCCTTCAGTCTTGCCTTCTTCTGGGCAGTCTGCATCACCACAGGAGAAGCAATGAGCTCCATCCACCACACTGGCCAGGAACCAGAGTGGCGGGAGGAAGAGAAGTCAGAAGGCTCATCAAATCTGATGACAAAGACTTGGCACCAATGAAGGGCTTGACATGGCCCCATGGGGTCCTGGAAGACAGGACTGGCCATACCACCAGCAGCAGTGAACGACCAGAAGAGAGGCTGGGGAGAGCCATGTCTGGGTTCCCGTCTCCAGAGCCTTTTTTGGGTGTCCCTAGCGGTGATGTCAGCTCAGATCAGGGTGGCTCCGAGGAGGGCCTTCCTTCTCTTCACTGCAAGGCAGGGCTTAGAGCCCACAACCAGCATTCAGTGCTGATAATGTGGAAGCTCTCAGCATTGCAGACAGGAAGGCAAAGACCCTGGAGCGGGTTTCCCTAAAGATATGAGTCACTGAATGCATACTGTGCATGCACATGTAAACATACATACACGCTCGCATGCACCAGGCCGGCATCGTGATTTGCTTTTTATCCGCTACTCTAATTCTTTCTTTCCCTCCTTGGTTTGTCCTCGCTGTCCCCTCCCTTCCCAGTGTGGGAGCCTGGGAAGCAGGGCTCTGCCTGCCTTGTTCAGCCGCTCTCCCAGGGCCTGACACCAAAAGGGTGTTCAATTAGCAGCTGCTCCTTGTAAACAACTGTCACACAAGCACACACTTGCAGCCTGAGGCCTAAGACAGCATCAAGCAGTAAGCAATTTCTATCGGCCCATAGGTCCTTGCTCTTACCACCTCCACCTCTCCCGTGGATTCACAACAGGTGTCTAAGGAAGCGTGACTAGGACGAGTGCGATCAAAGCCTCCGTGGGGCCAGCCAGGGGTGAACGGATGACGGAAGATGTGCACATGGAGGTGCAACCACGGGAGAATGGTGCAGGAAGCACTGATGCTTCAAGGAAGGGTTGGGAAAGTCAGGGAGCAGCCATCCGGACACAGACACCCAGAGAAGGCTCCGGAAAGCACAGGTGTGAGCGCACACCACTGAGCCCGGGGCCCGGGACCGCACAGAGCATCAGAGTGCCGTGGAGAAGGCCTGGGTGAGGGTGAAGTGTTTCATCGCCCACTGATGATGGAGGGCTCCGTGAAGGTTTCCCAACCTGCCCTGTACAAGGCCCTGGCTCCACTCTCATCTGGCCAGGGAGTGAGCAGAGCGCAAGCATCAGACGCCAGCAGTGGCCTGCTGAGGACACTGGTGCGGCCCCAGTGAGGAGTGAGACGCTGTGACCCTGTGGAGGGTCAGACGCCAGGACTGCCCCAACGTTGTGACCCTGGGGAGGGTCCTAGCTGCCGTGGTGCTGGGTTTTTCTTTTCCAAAGTCTGGAAAGAAAGTACTTTCTCTTGGTAGCCCCCAGGGTCATGGACAGGATAGTGTGGAGTGGAGGGTTGCACAGCAAATCCCTGCAAACGGAAAGATTCTGCCCGGGAAGGAGGGACTCAGGAGCTGCAGGAAGGAGCTCTCCTGAAGCTTGAGTCACGAGGGCCTCCCCGGAGTCCTACAGGCAGGACAGCCCCAGGACAGGCAGGCTCTCCCACGGGGCTGTCTGCAGGCTGGGCAGGGACCGCAGGCCTGTGGTGTCCACCAGCGGTCACTCACGCTGAATGGGCTGCCCCTGAGTGGGCCGCCTCTGTAAGTGACCCTCACCCACCCCTGCACGCAAACACCACAAACACTCTGGCTGGCAGAGACAGGGAGTGGGCGTGTTCTCTTTGATCTGTCCTTGCTCTCCCGAGCTGACCAGACATTTGCTCACATCTTCTCGTGTAAAAATACCATACAACGAAGTCTGGGTAAGAGCGAGAGTAAGGACGGTGTCTAACCACAATGACCCCAGGGAAGATTTGTAGCTAGCACAGTTCTGGGTTTTCTTTTCCAAATGTGGAAGTCAAATCACTTCCTCCCCTCGCTCCCAGTTGTGTGGATCAAGAAGATCTTATTATAAGTTAAACCTTAACTAAACAATCTCAGGCAGGGCCGATACTGTGGCTAGGGCGGCACAGGCAGGCAGAAGGGGTACACAAGCGTGAGACGCTTAGGCCCAGGGTCTCTGCACCTGCTCATTGGTGACTCACAGGTTACCTGTGCCCTAATTCAGACAAAGGACACACACATCATGCATGCTTCATGGTCAGCGGCTAAGCATGCCAGGCTTATCACAGAAATGGTCCCAGCTGTGTGAGTCAAGCCATGGAAAGTATATTCAAAACAGCCAGTAAGGACCAACCAGCGAGTGAATAAAGAGACTAGAGACTGCAAAATGGCCGACCCAGTCTCCAAGGCTGGGAGCTCCCCGAGCACACTGGAGACCCTCGCAGGGCCGCGCTCTCCACGAGAGGTGGCATGTCTGATCAGCAGCAGGTGAGCAGTCCCTCCCACCTGGCCGTCAGTCCTTTCATCTGTATTGTGTCATGCAGGTGTTTGAAGGCTGGTGGCTGGACGGGGTGGGCTCAGCCTGACACTTACTCAGGATTCTACTGCTGTGACTGGAAAAGCGTACTCAGCCGCCTCCACTGGTGGCTTTTATCAGTCTGCACTGCAGTGTTTTCCCATAACTCTCCAGC